ACTGTGTCCACATGGAGTGAGTCCCAAGAATCAGAGGTAGGTACCCTTCTGCCTTTCCATTATTCACCACACTCGATGTAAGGCACTCTGGTGTTGTATTTATCCATATGAGTTAAAATCTGTCAAACTAAACGAATAAGGCCTTTTTTTCTTTTTCTAAATTGATTTTTTTTTTTTTTTTTCAAATTGATCATAATATAAAAGAATGAGAAGTAAACAATACCTCAAGATGATCAGCAACATTAACAAAAATCCAGTTAGGCTTAAGATTTACGTTCAGCCATTTGCCATTATGCTGGACTTGTAAGCCACCGCTCACATTTTGGATTATGAGAATAAGAAGACTGGGATCAATATGAGCGAATTGACCGATTCGATTTTCAGAATTTTTGCGTGATGGATAGTCATTTGCAGTAAAGAAATCATAGCCTGATTCCAACTTCATTTTCCTCTCTATGTAGTGTTGTTCAAGTCCTAAAGCTCTTGAAATCCCTCCAAGTAGTCCAATTCCCAGCTCTCTCACTTTTGTGCTATATTCCAGTAAACTCTCACTTTGAAAGAAAAAAAAAACAAATATTTAGTGCTTGTAAAATTTTATTAGCAATTAGAGGCAGATGGTTAACACTTAACATGGTAGTTAGAGTAGCTTTCTTTTCTCTTTTTCTTTTCTTTTTTCTTTTAAATTCTAGACTTCTAGCTGCGTTATAAAAATTGTTGCAATGGAAAAATTATTTATTTGTATACCTTAAACCAGGAGGATTAGCATTTCTATTAATTTTTGATTACATTAATACAATAAAGTGCTTTAATATGCTTATATCTAATTATCATAATATTGATTCATTTCAATTTTAATTTATTATTGTTCGGATTAATTCATGTTTATTGTTTATTATATCTTATTTATCGTATGTGTTATTGTTAAATATTAATATTATTAATTATTAATTGCATACTGAGACATGGGATGTACTGAATTTGTGCATTGCATTAAGCGATGAAATTATATTCAAAAACCTGAAGTCAATATGTCTGCATTTAATTGCAAGTGTTTGATTAATTGTGTTGTGATAATGACATGCTGTTTGTGTGGAATTGGGATAAGTGGGTCCTCACCGATGGGTAGAGACCGTTACCGTTATATGGATCCTTAATTATGCAATTTACCGTAGCGATAAATGGAGAGACGGCGTCCCGATGTGCACCTACCGTTATGATCAGTATGGATATTGGAAGACCACGGGTTGGCTCCGTTACCTATATACTGGATCCTAATTTATATTCTGATGAACCCGCAGGTGACCTCCTGTTGTTGAGCGCTGATGATCTAGATTTGATTGGAGTTACCGACCGGTTTGCGCTCTCCTGTGGTATAGAAAAAGTAAAAGATAGAGGATGGAAAATATGAAGAGGGTGGTCTAATGAGGATTAGAACCAGGGTCGGCCAGAAGGGGGATCGGCCCTGTGCACGTGAAGAGCGAATAGGGCCATGTGAAAGAAGGACTCGAATTCATCGTGGGGTTCGTGATGCCACAGAATCCAATTCACGTGAATGTGATTGATTGAAGATGATTAATTGAATTGTGTGAGTGCTGATAGTGCCATTTAGTGTGACTGGCTGCGTGAAGGCATTAACTAGTCCAGATGACTAGATCGATCATGATTTTACAAATTTGTGTGACATGCGTGTGTTGTGTCAATAATTATTGCTCTTAGAAAAAACTCACATGGTCTGTTAATTTATTCAAGAACGTAAGTTTCTCTCTAATAATTTGGTTTCAGCTATGTCTTCTTCCGTCGCAAGGCTAATAATAGAAGTCTCTCTCTTAGACTTCCATATTATTATGTTTCGACAATGTAATCTACATATATTAAAGAAGCTATGATTATATTCAACATGTACTCAGTGACTCACGACAGTTATAGAATATTATTAACGTTGAGACCTTTAGTCGTGTTCAACATAGACGAATAATTGATGTGAGCCTCATATTATCAAATAATGTGATGTTCTCTGTTAATGGCCCGGATATAAAATCAACTGCGCGGGAAAAAGAAAAACCAAAATAACAAATCATGTGGAATGTAATGTAAGCTGATAATTTAGTGCGTCGAGGAATTAATAAAATCTTGAGGTTACTTCCGGGAAATATTAAATAATAGGGCACTAAAATGGATTTAAATTATATTTAGATAGATAAATTTTTTAAATTGTTTCAGGCTTTAACTCACCGAGGTTTCGGGGCCTTAAGCTTACCTGGGCCCTGAGCGGTCCAGCCAACGATCAATAGGTCGTGACAAATCTGCTCCTAGTCCAAAAGTTTTATTCTACTTAACAACGATAGGCTAAATGATTAAAATTATATTTAGATAGTAAATTTTTAATGTTTCAGGCTTACTACGGGTTTCGGGGGCCTTAAGCTTACCTGGGCCCTAGTGTCGGTCCGGCCAACGGAAATGGGTCGTGACAATATGCTACTAGTCAAAAGTTTTTATTCTCTTAACAGATATCATGACTTATATATTTAATTATTATTACAAAATCTTAGTTCTGTTGATTTTATTATTACAAAATAAAAGTTCAATGATTTTCAAGAAATGAATTTAAGAGCACTGGAATTTTACTCATTGTAATTTTTTTATTATTCATAGGTAATTTCAATGACTAAATTTCAATGAACCCTCAAATCATTGTTTTGTTCTTTTATATGTAGCCAGCGGCGGATCTGCTTTACAAAAAGAGGGAAATTGATCAAAGATGAATAAACATAAATATAGATAAGAATATCATCAATTGACTAATAATAAAATAATTAATAATTACCTGAAGTCAGATGGTTTTGTTGGACAATGAAACTGAGGGTGTGTGACCACCGTCAGATATTCTCTGTTTTCACCATTAGTGGTGAAAAGGCACCTTCTAATCTTATCCGTTGGATCCGTTGTCTGATACTCCTTTCTTTCTTCTTCAGTCAGATCATAAAAATCAGAAATTCCTTTGAGTGCATCTTCAATTATTTTATCTGGTAAGTCATGATTTACCAACTACAGAAACATAGAAAAACAAACAACTCAGGAGAAGTATTTAAAATGGTAAATTAATTTCCTATTTAGAAAAGAAAATATACACACATTTCTTATGAATTTACACACATTGAAGCAGGCATACTCCGTCAATGCTTTGTCGAGGTCAATGAGGGTTTTAGACCTTGTTTCAGGATCTTCAGAGCAAAGCATAGAGTAATCGAAGGTGGGGATTTCATCATTTGCTCTTGGATAAATGGAGTCCACGGGGTTAATAATAGAGATGTTATTGAGTTCAAAATGGTTTTGGGTATCGACTGAAGCTTTTTCTGCCATTTCGATTTTTGGAAGGAAGAAGAGACAAAGATTTTTATGATTTGCATGCATGGATATTACCACTACATACCATTGCATTATATAGACACGAAGTGTAGGCTATTAAAATTTTTATATTATTAAGAACGTGACTTTTAAATCTAAAAATATGGAATTATCATGTCTGCAGTGACGAATATACAATGAGAATAGTGGAGGCAACTGCTGCCACTGATTATTTACGTCTTAGTATATGATTAATTTTAAATTTAATTTATTCCACTAATTTTTTTTAACTATAATTATCCTAAATATTTGTGTAATGATAAGAATTTCCTAGGTTTGTCTCAACTAAGCATTAAAATCTTATTTTTCCAATTTATTTTTTGTAAAATTTCGGTAATCAAATGTTCTCGTAAAAGAAATTTCTAAGGACAAATTGTGTAATGTTAATTAGGAAAAAAAAAATTCTAGAATAAAAAAAAAAAGAATCACCAGTCTACATTTCAGTGATTCTGTCGCTGGACAATCACTTTCTATACGTTATGGTGATTCTGTTGTTATGCAGTCACTTTCTCGCAAAATTGCATTTCAAGCTATATATATATTATATTGTAGGGTTCAATATATGCAGTGAGCCATAACTATTAATTCAATAATATAAACATTAATCTTTAATGCAGAAGGTTATCTAGCCTTTGCTGGTTGCTACAACTCATGACAAGTCTATAAAAAATCCAAACAGCAAGTAATAATTAGAAAACCCTAAACCATTCTTTTCTCTCTTTTGCATATAATTTATTCTACAATATTAATTGTTTTAGTAATCATTAAATATTTTATTAATACTTAATTGTTAGCTATAAACTTTTAGCTTATATCATTATTAAATTAGAAATGTTAGGTAAAAATGACTATTTAATTCTCTTCTTTAGAATCAAAAAAAAAAAAAAAAAAAAAATTGTAGCTATAACTTTTAGGCTCCCTTATATCATATTAAATTAGGAAATGTAGGTAAAATGCGACACTATTTCAATTCTCTCTTTCGTGAATCTAAAAAAACAACAAAATAATAAAACAATACAGTTCAGATCAAGAAAAAATCCGATTTTTAAAAGAAATCATCAATTCTCTTCTTCTGATTCAAAAGAAAAACAAACAAAAATACAAAAAAAAAAAAAAAAAAATACGAACGATCCCAAACTGTCCGCGGGCTTAAGCTTATTGTAACAGTACTAGATAGCCTTACCCATTTTTAAAAAGTGTTCTATTCGTTGAATTGTCATTTCAACTCATTGTATTGATGCGGTATCTTTGATGAAAAAAAAAAAAAAGAAATGGAAATATCAATTAAATCCCAAAAAGTTTTACTTGATAAAAATACTAAAAAAAAAAACAACATGTTCGAAGCAGGCTGTTAATTACCAAATAGTTAGAAGTGTCTCCATTCTAACAAAAAAAATTATTTTTTATTAGTTGGATCAAGATGAGCCGTTGGATCAGGTTCGAGTAAGTTGAGCTCGATTTTTATTTGGAATAAATCTGTATACTTATAGGAACCAGGAAGTAACCCTTTAGGCCATAAAATGTACAGGTCTTTTGGTTATGTATTGCATTCTTGTGATGCACTCAATAATTTTTTCATACACGAACTCTAAGAAAACCACAAAGCATTATTTATTTATTTATTTTGGTTACAACAGGGAGCCATATAAACTCCAAAGAAACTACAGACAAACTCAAGAATACGAAACACCAACATCATCAGATGTAATAACCAGTAATCCATCCCAGGAGGAGGATGACTAAGAACATGAACTTCCAAATGGTAATTCTCTGCCTTGCCATCTCTGATTAATCCTCCTCCAAAGCTTTATTTAAACCACAACAATAGATGATACAAAAGGAATCAATCATATAGGATTAATTAGGATGATTATCACAAAAGGAATCACTCATATAGGATTACAGCATTAAACCAAGACTATTAATAAGGTGCTCACCCAGAATAAACGGCAATGCTAGTCTCTTAGATCGTATAGTCTGATCATAATCGGTTGGAGACATAAACTGAAAGATGAACCCTCAATAAGACAACTAGCTCTATACTTAAACCAAGAAAACAGTATAAATGATAGAAAATTCAATTGAATATGTTCAGCTACGAATCTGGTTGAGTGTGCCATGCACTAATTCCAAATATAGAACATGGAATTAGGTTATATTCCAATTATTATGTAGGTCCATCCAAGATATGCAGAGTGGGTGGCCAGCTCGTCTTGTAACTCTGGTAAGCAGCGTCACATACCACTGTGTCCATGAATGGTCCCACATATGGAGAGGTAGCAGTTACCCTTCTGATCTTCTATGGTACAACCACACTTCCCGATGTAATGCACTCTCTGTATTTTCCATTGTATAAAGTTCTGTCAAAACCAACCAGATAAGGGCCTTATTTTTTAGAAATTGATCAATAACTAAACAAAACGAAATGAGAAGTAATCAAATACCATTCAAGTGATGAATCAGCAACATTAACACAACAATCCAGTTAGGTCTAAGATTACGTTCAGCCATTTGCAGTTTATGCGTGGACATGTTAGGCCACCGCTCACATTTGATATAGAATAAGAACGGAACCCGGGATCAATATTGAGCTGAATCTGAACAGATAATCTGATTTTCAGAATTTTTGCGTGATGACTAGTCATTTGCAGTAAAGAAATCATAGCCTGATTCCAAATCTTCATTTTCCTCTCTATTGTAGTGTTGTTTCAGTCCTAAGCTCTTGAAATTTGAAATCCCTCCAAGTAGTTCAATTCCCATCTCTCTCACTTTTGTGCTATATTCCCGTAAACTCTCACTTTGAAAGAAAAAAAAAAAACAAATATTTAGTGCCTGTTTTTATTAGCAACTAGAGGCAGATGGTTAACACTTAACATGGTAGTTAGAGTAGCTATCTTTTCTCTTTTTCTTTTCTTTTTTCTTTTAAATTCTAGACTTCTAGCTGCGTTATAAAAATTGTTGCAATGGAAAAATTATTTATTTGTATACCTTAAACCAGGAGGATTAGAAGGGCAATGAAAGGTAGGACGCACTGCCACCTTGATGAATTCCCTGCTAACCTGGTTAAGATTGCCTTTGCCCCACCTGATTAAATCTCTTGGATCTTTAGTATCGTACTTGAGCTTCTCATGATGAATTCCCTGCTAACGCTGAGTAGTAAGATTGCCTTGCCCCACCTGATAAATCTCTTGGATCTTGTATCGTCACTTGCGAGGCTTCTCATCTCTAGGATTTGTATACCTTAAACCAGGAGGATTAGAAGGGCAATGAAAGGTAGGACGCACTGCCACCTTGATGAATTCCCTGCTAACCTGGTTAAGATTGCCTTTGCCCCACCTGATTAAATCTCTTGGATCTTTAGTATCGTACTTGAGCTTCTCATCCTCAGGCAGATCGAAGAACTCAAAGAGCCTATCTATCACTCCTTTAATCACTGTGTCTGGTACTGTATGGTTTGTCACCTGCATGTGTATCATTTGCTTCGACATATTAGTTTGTCACCTACCCTTTTCTATTTTTTAATTTCCATGCAATAGTAACTGAAACAACATCATTAATATTATATTTACTACTTATAGTTGCGAAGATCGTAAGGTTTCATATTATAATAGTAATAACAAATTAACAATAACTCGTAGGAGAAGCAGCCATGAACCTCGAAACTAAAATAATCTTAATACCCAAATGATACATGGGGATATTCAAGGTAACTGCAAAAAGTACACATAATGAGAATTACTCTGATTACGCGAATTTGATACGGTGAAATGAAAATGGCAGAGGACAATCAAAACATGGTAATTAAAAAAAAAAAAAAAAGGAAGATTACCATATGGCTAACTGTTTGAAAAAGAAAAAAGGAAAAAGCAAGCAAGATTTTGCATACACTGAAGAAGCCAAAGTGAAGACAGGCTCTGGCTAGGTCTTCTACAGCCTGAGACTGAAGAAATGGATCAGCAGAGACAAGCATTGAGTAATCAATAAGAGGGATAGTCTCATCCTCTCCTGAAAAAGAATCCTTCTTGTTAGTTTCAACCATTGTGTCTGTCTATATAACGTATGAGAGAGAGATTGCCTAGATAATTAAACAAGTGAAGAATATTAATGGCCAGTATGCAAAGACAAAGCTGCATGGAATGCTATTAATAGGCATGTAACTCTAAGTATGTTATGGTCTAATTATACCTACCTACATAGCTTAATTATATTGAATTAATTAATTATATGTAATGCATGTTACTTTGGAAATTTCAAGGAGAAAATAATAAATATTTTCTAATTTTGAGTTTATTTATATTAAATACAATAATAAAATGCTAATGTGAGATAAAATATAATTTAATAAAATTAATGCATATTTTGTTGTAATTTATAGATATTAGTTGCTTTCTTAACTAACATCTAAAAACTTTAAACACTCTCTTAGTAAGTGCACTTTTCCGAATTAAACTTGTGCCTTCATCTTTGGAGATTAAATTTGTCAAATTGATTTCTTTTTTACGTTATCTCTAAAGAAGAAAGGGCAAAAATAGGAGAAAGTAAATGGAGCCTATATTATTTATTTCTCAGAAAAAGAAAACATAAATGGAAAAAGAAGGCTATGAAATTCATGATTCGGTATGCTATGTATATATATGTAGTTAGCCTAATATATCAGTTTACCCCAGATTTTATTACCTCTTGCAATTTTCCTCTAATATATCAGTTTACCCCGAATTCTCACATTATCTATTACTTTCACCCCTAATTTCACCCCTAATTTGGATAACTTACCGATTAAATGTTCTCATCACAACTTTTTCCTTAAAAAGTTTGAATTTTTGTTTTTCTTTTTATAAATTTTTTTTAGTTTTTTATTTTTTAAATTGCATTATTAGATGATAACATGTAGTGTTTGATCTGAGACATTGAAATGGATAAATATGGCAATATAGAATCATAAATAAAGTTCCCAATTTCCACTAAATTGAAGAAGTTCTACTATAAGACTAATTATGGTTGATTATGGCAATTAAAAAATATTAAATACCGCCAAATGAGTAGGAAATGTGAGATCTAAAGATGAATATGTAAATAGTACAAGCAATAACCACATAGAAATCGGATGCATCGCCAAATGAGTAGGAAATGTGAGATCTAAAGATGAATATGTAAATAGTACAAGCAATAACCACATAGAAATCGGATGCATTCGTAGGAAGGTGGAAATGGGTTAATTTGGACACATGCATTGCAGATTGGTCGATGCATCAATAGAGAAGATTATACACGTACAAGTTAAAAGAGCAAAGGCAACAAAGAGGAGTACAATGATAGCAATGAACGAAGCAGTAAAGAAGACTTTAGATGAAGAAGCCGAGATCTCACGAAGAAGTAATGATCTTCTTTGTGATCTTCTTTGTTTTCTAAATATTGAGTGAGAAAGATTGTTTAAAGACTTTGGATACCTTCCATTTACATAAGTTGTACCCCTCAAATAGATGAACTGATTTTATCATATCTATGATCATAAACATTGTACACAACTTTTTTTTTGCCTTTAGAAGATTATAGTTGTTTATTCAATTTGTAGATTATTTTGATTTTCTAAAAAAAGTTTATTTTTGGAAATGAATTTCTTATTTCTTAGCATACTTATAGTTAATTTCTTATTTCTTATAGTTCATAGTTAGTTGATATTTGCTACGACCACTGTGATCCTTATTTATTTTTTCTTCTCTATTTTTCAAATTTATTTATTTCTAAATACATAAATAACCAGATATTTATGCTTTTTTTTTTCAAAAATTATATTCATCAATTAACAATGTTTTCTAATTATAAGCAATACTATTATCTTTTATCCTATCTGTATTTTAATTGGAAAACTTTTTTTTTTCAAATTTATTTTAAGATAACATAAAACTAATATATACACACTATATATATATATATATAAGTACGAATGGGGGAATATTGGATCCCTAAAATGCCCCTACAAACTTTCAATTTAATTGCTAATAATAATGATAATTTAGTCATTCGTTAATTAGAAAACTTTTAATTTTATTGATTTTTTATTCTTATTTGAATCTAAATTCTATTGGAAAGTTTAATCTAATCCTATTATAATTATGATATCAATTTATTATTTTTATTATATTAATATTAATTAGGAATTTGTTTCACCATACCACTGTATATATGTTTAGTTTTATTAATAATTAATTAGGAAATTTGTTTCACATACACTGTTATTATTTTTATTATATTAATATTAATTAGGAATTTGTTTCACCATACCACTGTATATATGTTTAGTTTTAATTGTTTTTTGCTATCAAGAATTTTTTTCTTTTGACTATCAAGAATTATTACTTTAAGGTTTTGCTAATTTAGAGTTATTAAGTTTACAATCATGTCTTTTCTTGTGATAAGTATTAACTTTCTCTTTTTACAAGTTAATATAATAGTTTTTATTTATATTTCTTATAATTTAGCAATCCTTCCATCCTTATTGTTTGTGCTTAAAGTTATAAATTTATAGTTTTATAGATTCATTATAAACTTGACAAAGCAAACTACTTACGGATTAGCGATGGAATTATTTTCCGTTTATATTATTATCACCTAAATTGATTTTTACTAATTAATAAATTCTGTTTCATTACTCTTCCATTGCAAACAGTTGACAAAAGGACTTACAAATGGTTTAGAAACGGAATTTCGATCCGTTGCTAAATTTATAACCAGAACTCGGCACCCTGTTTTGCAGAAACCTAAAACGCACTGCATATCTCTTCGGTGTTGTATCCATTGGTATGCCTGCTCTTTCTTTTTTCTTTTCTTTCTTTCTTTTATTTTATATTTTATTAATAAAGTTTAAATTTCATTTGGATTGTAAGATTAATATTTGACATGATAATTGTTTTTTTGAAGTATTTCGATGGAACCATTGAAATTTTGATATTCAAATTATAATATAATAAATTATAATTATTTTCTCAGTATAGGAGAAAGGGGATTTGAATTTGAATTTATTATTAGGTCACTAGGCTATATATTGGTGTGCATAAATTATAATTTTTTTTATAGAAATTTCAAATTTTATTTGTATTTTATTGGTTGGTTAACAATATCATTAATGATAATTTAGTCACATCCTAATTAAGAAATTTTAGTTCGATTGATTATATTAGTTTCTTTAATCATATTATTTTTATTAATTAATAAATATTGTTTCATTATTTTTCGGTTGCTAACAGTTGACAAAGGGTTCTATAAGTGCGTTAGCAACGGAACCTGTGTCCAGTTCTAAATTGATTTTTTCTTTGCTGGGAGTTGGTTCTACAAATGGGTTAGCAACCGAATATTTATCCGTTTCTAAAATTATAGCAAAAATTCAGATTCTATTTTAACTGCATATCTCTTCTCCGCCACATCCTTTAGTATGTTTGCACTTCTTTTTCTATTTTCTTTCTCCTTTTTATTTTATATTTTATTAATAAAATTTAAATTTTATTTGGATTGTTTAATATTTGTCAAGATTAATATTTTATACCGTCAAGAATTTCTTTGCTATTGTTATATCAAAAATTTCTCATATTATTATTATTAATGGCTGAGTTACTAATTTTAACTTTTGATTTTTTTTAAATTTTGATATACTATCACAAAAAAAAAGAATTTGATTACCAATAATTTATATATGTATTTATTTTTATATATGGCAAGATCTAGGATCAAATAGTTATTTATTTTAAACTTTGTAACTATTCCATTTTGTCAAAAATTATATTGTAAAAAATTATTACATTAAATACTAGATATGTATGATAATGATTTACTGTAACACCCACAGACCAATCTCAGAGAACCAGACGGTGGATGCCACAATCGGTGCCGGAGCACCATCTTATGTCACTATAAAAGCTCCAACAATCGGTGCCGAGCACCATTTATGTCACTATAAAAGCTAGATCACGTAAAATTCGCATCATGCTCACTGTCGGATACATCGGTCAATCTTATAGGAGCGCAAGTAATTTACCAGTTTTTTTGTATTATTAATTTGTTAGCGTTTTACTACCTCTCTCAACAATCATCACAAATTCTGTATTAAGAAATTGCCTACGAAATTTCACAAGAGTTTTCCCTTAAAAAATTTACTTTGCCACACAAAGAAAATATACACACTTCCAATTTTTTTTAAACCCCAAACCTCCAATTCAACAACATACTACAAGGCCACTTCTAAATATCCATCAATATCTACGCATAATATTCGAAACACATTCTTTTCAAGGAATCTCGTAATCATCATACACAAAAAAATATATAGGTGTTATTTCTTTTAACATAATCATAACTTATTTGTCTGCCTTACCTCGATACCCAACCCTCCACGATTATTATCCCCAACGGGTTCCACACAACGATACGTTCTAACGGCAGCTCACCCCATGCTGTAAGCGACATGCCATACAGTACTTTACAAAATATCCACTTTACCCAAGATGTGATTACTACTCTGATGCTCGTCCTCTGGTCTTGAAGAACACCCTCCGCTCAATCCTAAGGTCTTGAAGAACACCCTCCGCTCCTAACTTGCGCGTGATAAAAATCAACGCGCTGAGTGGAAGACTCAGTGGTGCTAAATAACCAACAATTTAATGAACAATAATAGCCAATGCAAAACTTAAATTACTCAACTACATAAATACCGAAATCGCATTCATTTAATTCAAATACTTTGAAAGCAATGAGAAGATTATAAATACAAAAATGTCTTCATTCTTTTATAGCAACAATAAAATTTCATTTTTCGTTAAGGCTCATACTCATGCAGAATGAACATAAGCAGATTTGATCGTGGCCTATCCCCCATTCACATACTCGTGGCTATTTGAAAGTCACCACCGTTGGCCTATGAAAGCACCACCCCCATCACACAATCGTGGGCCTATGAAAGCACCACCGTGCTATGAAGCCACCACTTCCATTCACACAAATAAGCGCGTCCGCTATTTATAAGGGGTGATACCGGCTGATAACCCTACATATGATCATAGCTTCACAATAAGAAAATCCATATCATCATACCACGTTTCAATCATGCATAGTAGAGCCCAAATCAAAATCATTCTTTCACAAAAGCAATAAGTCTAAATCAAAACCTCTTCATTTCTTAATACTCATCAGTTCAGAATTTTACTCAAAACACTAGAGATATATATATACGTAATATAGTATAAAGTACATAAATCAAGAACTTTTCAGCATGTTCATAAACTTGACCTCTGCTGGGTTTTTAACACATAATTTGAGTTATGGGTCTCCAAATTGAATGAAATCAGATTCATTAGAAAGTTAACCCAAAATGCTACAAATGTTCAGAAGGGACCAATTGTACAAATGTTAAGAAGGGACCACAGCCCAGATCAATTGGTAAGATAGCAAAGACCAATAGATCAGACCTGATTCAGCAAAACCAAGTCCAATGTTTCTTGAACACCTCACCAAATACTCAAATGAAACCAATATAGAACGATAAAATTCTCAAGACACAGGGCAACAACTTTTATGAAGAACTCAGAACCTAATCTTGTCATTATAGTGGTCAAAATGGGCACACAATTTAGTGATGCATGTAGCCCGTCACAACAGAGTCAGTTTGGGTGTTTCAGCCATAAGTTGAGCTATATATCTCCAAATTGGACACAAGAGGATGTTCACCAAACACTCAAATGAAACCAATCCAGAACGAGAGAATTCTCAAGACACAGGACAACAACTTTTATGAATAACAAAGAACCTAATCATGTCATTATAGTGGTCAAAATGGGCAATGATTTCGGATATACTGGTAAGACACCATAACAGAACCAGTTTTGGTATTTAAATCATAAGTTGAGCTATAAGTACTGGAATTAGACATAAAAATATGTTTTGGAAAGCTAAGAAATAGAGCTGAAACTTTCATGAAGAAGTCAGAAACAGATGGGGAGTATAAAGGGGTCGTCTAATCTCACGGCCAGGAACATATCTAACATGATTAGCAAGTTAACAATACATTACAAAATTCCCAAAATTTCATCTCAAAGCCTAACCATGTAAAACAACGTTAAACAAGTGAAAGTATAATCTGCACAACCTTCAAACCAAAGCTTTTAACAAGCTCAAGCTTTGGTCTTAGCCCTTATCCTGGTGGGAAGGCTCTCACCTCTACATGTAAGGACACTCAAAATCAAACAAAGAAAACACAAACAAAAGGAAGAAGTGGAGCATGATTTAGCATGTATATGCTTAAGAAAACTCTAAACCCAACATAAATTTACCTTATCCTAAAATCACTTTACCAAGTAGAAAAATCACCAAATTCCTTTGAAATTAGTCACCCCAAATATTACTTCTCTTAGTTCAATCTCTAATATGTTCTTAATTTAACTCAAGTATGTATGGGTTGATTTTGGATGTGTTACTAAGGAAAATTTGAAGAAGAAGAAAAGAACAGCCGGAAGAAGAAAGAAGACCGGTAGGAAAAAGGGAAAGAAGAAGATTAGGTTGCCCAATTAATGAGAGATAATGATTTACTCCATAAAATGGATGGCAGGATTGAATGGTAAATCTAATCATAATGGCTTTACAAATATTCTCCAAATTAAATTCCTTTCAAATATTATGTAACACAACAAAATTCTCAAATTTACTCCATAAAAATAATTCTTTGAAAGTTCCTTATTAATCTAACACATTTCAAATTTCATTTTCATCCACACAACTATTGCCTCTAATCCTTAAGTCACTACGCACTAATTCTCTAAAATTCTCCAAAAATATTCATTACTTACTTTCTACCCATAAAAACCATGCATGCATGCTCTAAAAATGTGATAGAACCTATTACCTATATATAATAATTTTTTTGGACCAAAATAATACCGACTCCCGGACTGATAGTACTATTCACAGACAGATAAACTACTATTGCAACACAGGAAAAATAGGGCGTTACAAGCTTACCAAATAAAGAAAAGAAGAAAGAATCAAGAAAGAGGCACAATCAAAAGAATTCAAGTAGAATGGAAAAAGCAAGGAAGAAAAGTACCAAAATATCACTTTCCCATGTAGCTTCCTTCGGTCTTTATGGTTCTCCAAAGAACCTTCCAAAGAACCTTTACCAAAGGAATTCTCTTATTCCTTAGTTCCTTGACTTCACTAGCAAGTATTCTCACTGGTTCTTCCTCATAAGTTAAATCTGGATCAATAGTTATAGATTCCACTGCTATCACATGTGATGGGTCGGACCGATACCGCCTCAACATAGATACGTGGAAAACATTATGTATCCTATCCAGGTCTGGTGGTAAAGCTAGTCTATAGGCCAATGGACCCACACGTTCAATGATCTCATAGGGACCAATGAACCTAGGACTAAGCTTACCCTTTCTTCCAAATCTCAATATCTTTTTCCATGGAGATACTTTAAGGAAAACCTTATCTCCCACTGCATATCTATAATCTTTCCTCTCAAGTCGGGCATAGGATTCTTGACTGATCTGAAGCTGCTTTCAATTCATCTCTGATAATTTTGACCTTATTCCTCTGTTCCCGAATCAAATCGGACCTAATAATCTTGCCCTCACTTCAACTCTGACAACATAGTGGCTCCTACATCTCCTACCATTATAGTGCTACAAAATGGGGGCCATCTGAAACTCGACTGATAACTGTATTATTAGGCGAATTCGACAAGTCGAATGTACTTCTCAACAATACCTCAAAACTCAATAACACAAGGCTCTTAACATATCCTCCAAAATCTGAATAACCCGCTTCTTGACTGACATCTGTTGAGGATGAAAAGCTGTTACTGAAATCAGTTTAGTACCCAGGGCCTCATGTAGCTTCTTCAAACAAAATCTAGAAGTAAATCTCGGATCTCTATCTGAAATGATGGATGAAGGAACTCCATGCAATCTCACTATCTCATCTATATAAAGCTCTGCAAACTGCTCCATGGTGAAGTCGGTTCTAACAGGAAGAAAGTGTGCTGACTTAGTTAGTCTGTCAACTATTACCCATATAGCATTTTTCTTTTTAGGAGTTAAAGGCAATCTAGTCACAAAATCCATTGTAACCTTATCCCATTTCCACTCTGGAATCGCAGTAGGGTGTAACAAACCAGAAGGAAACTGGTGCTCTGCTTTAACTTGCTGGCACGTCAAAACACCTCGACACATAATCTATGATATCCCTCTTCATCGCTGGCCACCAATACTGTGATTTCAAATCCTGATACATCTTCTTACTGCCAGGATGCATAGCATAGAGACTACTATGAGCTTCCTTTAAGATACTCTTCCTCAGCTCTGAAATTTTAGGCACACAAATCTGATCCCCAAAGTACAAGCAGTCGTCATCTTTAATAGTAGATCGTCATCTTTTAATCAATAAACTCTCTTTTTCTCACCCTCTTCTGACTAGGGCCTTTCACAAAGTAATAGTCTCATTCACCCTTGGTTTGCTCTTCTAATCTGTTTGGTAGTAGGCTAGGTTTCACCATTTCAGGCTCTGCTACAGCGTACCATCTCTAGTCACAGACTAAGCGTGCATTCATAGCACGAAGAGCAACTAATGCCTTTTTCTACTGAGATGCATCTGCCACGAATTTAGCTCTACCCGGGTGGTAATTAAATTAGTGAAATCATAGTCCTAGGTAGCTCATTAAACATCTGCGCCTGCCTCAAAAGTTAAGCTCTCTCTTTGTAAGCAGATACTTAAGGCTCTTATGATCCGTACTACAAGTTGGCTTCACCATACAAGCTTAATGTTCTTCCAAAAGCTTCAGGCAACACACAATTAGCTGCTTTAACTCCAAATCATGAAGTTTGGTAGTTTTTTCTCATGTTTTTTTATAAATATGGCTTAAGCTGTCGCGCAAGCATAAAGCAATTTCACCCTTGCCCTCTCTTTCTTTTTTTATTTTTTTTTTTTTTTTTTTTTTTTTGTTTTTTTTTGATTGATAAGCACACAACAACACTTTATGCACCATTATGCGAAGCATCACTATAAACATCATATGGTCTGCCTGGAGCTGGCTGTGTCAAAACTGGAGCCTCAGTAAGCATCGCCTTAAGCTGCTCAAAGCTACTCTGGCAGCTATCAGTCCACTCAAAACAGACATCCTTACGGAAAAGTCTAGTCAAAGGGGCTGCAATAAGAGAAAACCCCTTAACAAACCTCCTGTAATATCCAGCCAAACCTAAGAAACTGTGAATCTCTGTGACATTCATAGGTGGCTTCCAATCAAGCACTGCCTCAATCTTCTTCGGGTCCACCCGAATACTCTCTACAGAAACAACATGCCTAAGAAAGCAATCTCAGTCAACCAAAACTCACACTTACTGAGCTTGGCATATAACTATCGGTCTCTCAAGGTCTGCAAAACTGTTCATAGGTGGTGATCATGATCCTCTCTAGTCGGAGAGTACACCAAAATATCATCAATAAAATCCACCACGAACTGATCCAAATAAGGATGGAAGCTCCGGTTCATCAGGTCCATAAACACTGCTGGGGCATTAGTCAACCCAAATGGCATCACTAAAAACTCATAGTGACCATATCGAGTCCTGAAAGCAGTTGTACCTGAAAGCAGTCTTAGGATACTCTGTCACCTTCAACCCTTAGCACTAAAAACTCATAGTGACCATATCGAGTCCTGAAAGCAGTCTTAGGTACATCTGACTCTCTAACTCTCAACTGATGATATCCTGATCTCAAATCAATTTTCGAAAACACCGTGGCCCCTCTCAACTGATCAAACAAATTGTCTATTCGAGGTAATGGATAACGATTCTTCAGCGTCACCTTATTAAGCTGCCTATAATCAATGCACAATCTCAAAGTACCATCCTTCTTCTTCATAAATAATACTGGAGGGCTCCAAGGAGATACACTAGGTCGAATGAAACCCTTACCAAGCAACTCCTGAATCTGAATCTTCAACTCTCTCAACTTAATAGGAGCCATCCGGTATGGAGTAATGGATATCGGTGCAGTACCCGGCACAACCTCGATACTAAACTCAACCTCTCTCGCAGGAGGCAAACTAGACAAATCCTCAGGAAATACATCTGGAAAGTCACACACCATCGAAATCCCATGGACACTGGGAGATCTCCGCTCAGGCTCAAGTACACAGGCCAAGAATGCCTCACAGCCATGTTGTATCATTCTCCTAGCGATACTGGCTAAAATAACATTAGAGAGGTAATCCATCCTCTCCCCCACAACTATAATCTCCTCTTCAGACAGAGTCTATTACGTCTACAATCAATAATGACCCCATGTCTAGACAGCCAATCCATACCCAATATCACATCGTACTCCCGAAAAGGCAACTCTATCAAATCACCTAGAAATACATACTCATGAATGGGGGCAATCTCTATTTACACCCGATTAACTACTACACTTTGACCCAAAGGGCTCGTTACCTCAACGCTGTGCTCTAATGTATCAGCATGCATACTACCCAATCTACCCACAGGGATGCAAATGTATGAATGCGTGGAGCCCGGATCAATCAAAGCAAGTACAAAAGTGTCAAACATAGAGAAGGTACCTGCGATGACATCCGGTGCATCCCGCTGCTCCCTGGTCCTGGTGGCATAAGCCCTCGCCTGTGCTCTAGCCTCGGGTCTCTCCACAGTCTCAGAAACTGGTCTCTCACTCCTCGTACCAGAGCCCTCACTACGGCCTCGTACCAGAGCCCTCACGACGGCCTCTACCTCTGCCTCTCTGACCATAGGGAGCTGGCCTCCCAACCTGGTGAGTTGGACTAGTGATGGTGTTGTTGATATTACACCAGGAAGCATTCCTACAGATGATGTTACGAGAGGAGGAATGCCAGAATCAGAATGGGAAGAAGAAGAAGACCTGCCACACTGACTGCAAATTGGTAGACCTGACCATGCAGCACCTCCACCACTAGCAACAGATGAAACCGGAGGAGCTGATCTTGGAACTATACCCCGACCAACTGTCTGGCCCGGTCTAGCCCCCATCTGCGGTCTGCCTCTAAATCTCTTGCTACTAGATTGGATCCCTGAAGTCTGTCCAGATGTAGCACTCTGAAATATCTTATACTGACTGCTTTGCTGGATCCTCTGACCTCTGGCCTGTCTCTCATTCCGAATAAGCTTAAGCTCTGTAGCAGCCTTCACTAAACCAGCTAATGTAGTGTGGGGCTGGGATGTCAACTGCATCCTATACTCATCCAGTAACCCCTTCCGAAACCGCTTACACCGATCTGCCTCAGTAGGGACCAGCTTAGAAGCATACCTACTCAACCGCAGAAACTCCCGCTCATACTCGGAGACAGTCATCCATCCCATCCGTCCCTGTCTAAGCTCAAGGAACTCTGCTATCCTCTGATCCGTGTATAACTCCCCTACATATTTCTCTCGAAAAGCAGAGAAAAAGAAATCCCAAGTAACATCCTCAGCTTTTGCTGTCTTCACCATAGACTCCCACCATAGGTAAGCCTCTTCCTTTAGCAAGGAAACAACACAAATCAATCTATCTGCAGGAGTACAGTGCATCTGGTCCAAAACCCTCTCTGTAGCTTGGAGCCAAAATTCTGCTGCAGAAGGATCATCATCTCTCCGACCCATAAAATCCTCAACACGATACTTTTGGAGCCAAAATTCTGCTGCAGAAGGATCATCATCTCTCCGACCCATAAAATCTTCAACACGATACTTCCTCAGTCTCTCTACCGGGGTATGAACTGGAACAGGGGCTGGTGCGACTGGAGCCTGAGGAACAGCTCCCGCAGTTTGCCTCAATGCAGCTACCAACTGTTGTACCAAATCACCCTAATTAGGCCCCGCAGGACCCACAGTAGCCTGCCCTACAACCGAGGCACGCACTGCATCGGAACCCAGAATGCCACCAGCAACACCACCAACTGGCATATCACCCTCTACCATAGCACCCTCTGGAGGGGCATAACTATCCACCTCCTCATCCGGCAAGTTCTGAGACATCACTAAACACCTACAAAGACCCCAGCGGAGTCGCATCAGAGAGAAATTCCCACAACAACTAATATGGCATGTATGTTAACTTAAATCACTTATATCATTACTCCAAAGTGGGATAAAACTCTCATACAAATCATATCTCCTAGAATTGTCTAACCTTAATGCCTTCTGATACCAAAAATTGTAACACCCACAGACCAATCTCAGAGAACCAGACGGTGGATGCACAATCGGTGCCGGAGCACCAATCTTAGTCACTATAAAAAGCTAGAATCACAAAATTGAAGTGGTTAAATTTTTCATAAGGAAAGGCAAGTAATTACCAGTTTTTTTTTGTATTATTAATTTTATTTTTTTTAACAAAAATAATGTTTAAGAAAATCTCTACGAAAATTTCAACAAGATTGTTCCCCCTAAAAATTTACTTGCCACACAAGAAAATATACACACTGTCCCAATTTTTTTTTAAACCCCCCAAACTCCAAATTCAACAACATACTAACAAGCATCATCTAAATATCCATCAAATATACGCATAAATTCCGAAACACAGTTCTTTCAGGAATCTCTAATCTATCAATAACCAAAAAATATAGAAAGGTGTTATTTCTTTTAATTTAATTCCCATAAAAAAACCTTTCTTAATACATGACAAACTTATTATGATCCAAGTTCACAACACAATATTTATATACATGCCAAAATCACATTTACAAAAATATCCTACCCCAAGATGTGATATCTGACTTCTGATGCTCGTGGTCTTGAAGAACACCCTCCGCTCCTAACTTGCGCGTGATAAAAATCAACGCGCTGAGTGGAAGACTCAGTGGTGCTAAATAACCAACAATTTAATGAACAATAATAGCCAATGCAAAACTTAAATTACTCAACTACATAAATACCGAAATCGCATTCATTTAATTCAAATACTTTGAAAGCAATGAGAAGATTATAAATACAAAAATGTCTTCATTCTTTTATAGCAACAATAAAATTTCATTTTTCGTTAAGGCTCATACTCATGCAGAATGAACATAAGCAGATTTGATCGTGGCCTATTGTTAGCGCCTCCCCCATCACAAATACTCCGTGGCCTTATGAAAAGCACCACCGTGGCCCTATGAAAAGCACCACCCTAATAAACACAATCGTGGCCTAGAAAGCCACCACCCCATCACACAAATAAG